GGGAGAGGGGCCCTGTGTTCTTGGTCTGGGGGAGAGGGGCCCTCTGTTCTTGGTCTGATGGGAGAGGGGCCCTGTGTTCTTGGTCTGGTGGGAGAGGGGCCCTGTGTTCTTGGTCTCGGGGAGAGGGGCCCTGTGTTCTTGATCTGGGGGAGAGAGGCCTTATATTCTTGGTCTGGGAGAGGGTCCTTGTGTTCTTTGTCTGGGGGGAGGGGCCCTGTTTCTTGGTCTGTGGGGGGGCTCTGTGTTCTTGGTCTGGGGGAGGGGCTCCGTGTTCTTGGTCTGGGAGAGGGGCTTTGTCTTCTTGGTCTTGGGGAGAGGTGCCCTGTGTTCTTGGTCTGGGGGAGAGGGGTCCCGTGTTCTTTGTCTGGGGGGAGAGGGGTCCTGTATTTCTTGGTCTGTGGGAGGGGCTCTGTGTTCTTGGTCTGGGGGAGGGGCTCTGTATTCCTGGTCTGGGGGAGGAGCCTTGTGTTCTTGGTCTGGGGCAAGGGCCCTGTGTCCTCGGTCTGAGGGAGGGGCTCTGTCTTCTCGGTCTGGGGGAAGAGCCCTGTGTTCTTGGTCTGGGGGAAAGGGCCCTGTGTTCTTGGTCTGGGGGAGGGGCTCTGTGTTCTTGGTCTGGGGGAGGGGCTCTGTGTTCTTGGTCTGGGGGAGGGGCACTGTGTTCTTGGTCTAGGGGAGAGGGGCCCTGTGTTCTTGGTCTAGGGGAGAGGAGCCCTGTGTTCTGGGTCTGGAGGAGAGGGCCACGTGTTCTTGGTCTGGGGAAGGGGTCCTGTATTCTTGGCTGCAGCTGTCTGGAGTGGAGTCTCTGCCTCACTGAGCTGAGATGTGTGAGAACTCTTGGTTCAAATACCACAGATTTTTTATGTTTCTTACCAAAATTGCATAGATGTTTATTCATTTGCTGTTTTCCTTAGGACCATTTCCAGAAGATTTAAATGGCCTTTTTTTTTTTCCTTCAGTTTCTCCACCCTGAAAGTTGGTCTCCTATCTCTTTCCTTTTCACACTTAATTCTATACCACTGGTGAAGGAGAGCGCAGCCCTGGATAACCAAGCAGGGGCCAGACTCTGAGCAGGGCAAACACTGAGCTTGTGCCATCTGGTTTGTTTAGTGGCTGAAAAAACTTGAAAGCCACCTAAGACGTAATGGCATCTGGTGCTCAGAAGATGGTTTTAAGTATCTGAGCATCCAGTCTCTCGGTGGGATTTTCCCTCACAGCTGCCTGGCAGAGTGTCTGCCACGTTATCGGATACTCGATCATGCGTAGAATAACCTGTGGCAGACAGGTTGCGAGGCAGTGAGACTGGCCCATGGATGGGAGACCAATAACTGTCGTGTCCAAACGAGGTGGTAGCAGATAAGCTGTTTCGACTCAAGTGTTTTTATTTTAACACTCCTCTGTTTTTGGTGGACGCCATGAGTTATGTGTAGAGAATAAGGCTTGGTGCAATTTTTCTGGAGACTAGGCTGGAAATGTTTAAAAATGTCCATGCCCTTTGTCTTGGCAATATCCTCACCAGGAATTTAGCACTTGGACATACTTTAAAAATGTACCAATATCAAGTATAAGGATGTCCACTGAAATATTTTGGATAATAATAAAAACCAGGACACAACCAAAGTGCCTATCAATGAAGGACTCATAAATAAAGGTTTGTGCAGCTACACAGTAAAATACTATGCAGAATTTTGAAGGAATAAAACAGTTCATTAAAGAGAATGAGGTATATGTTGCTACAGAAAGATCTCCAATTTATATCATTAAGTGAAAAAAACAACAAAGTGCAGAACAGTATCAGTAGTTTGATCCCTTTTGTGTAAATTTTAAAAATACATAAATGGATGTGTATATGTGGGCATTGCCTTTTTTTCCTGGAAGAAATCACAGGCTATGTCTTATGTTTACCTTTGACAAGAGACTCTGGGTAGATGGAAAAGAGGTTTTCACATTTTATTTTTCCCTCTAGATACATTTAGGATGTTTTGATCCTATTAGATATAGGTTACTTTCTTTCTTTTTTTTTTGATGCTGAAAGGATTACCTGGGTAGGGAGATTTGGGGCCATTTTTTATTTTCTTCTTTGTTCTTGTCTGTATTGACTTTTAGTTAAATGTTACAAAAGAAAGTTTATGAAATAAAAGTATACGTTTTCAAAGTACAAGCTTGTGAAGTGAAATTCCTGGTTTTCTCAGCCACCTGTGTCTCACGTGCATCTCATGGCCGTCTGTGCCCCCTCAGCCAATCTATCCGAGTCAGAGGCAGAGTCAGAAGCTGGTCCTTACTGAAAACCTCAGAACAGAGAAGCCCTCCCATCACAGATGTTCAAAGACACAGGAGCGCGAGGTGCCTGAAGGCGGCTTCATTCTGGGCAGTCACACCCAAGGTGTGGTCTTGCGGAGCAGCATCAGCATCACTCAGGCGCTGTTGGAAATGCAGAACCTCAATCTCCACCCAGCCCGCCTGAGCCCGAACCTGCACGTCACAGGTGAACGTCAGCACGTTGATACCTGAGAAGCACTGGACTAGCTCTCAGTCGCACGCTGAAATCACCGGCAGGGTCCTTTAAACCGCGCGAGGCAGGGTGGGTTCCACCACTGACACAAGGAATCCAAACCTCTGGGGAAGGCATGGGAGGTTTCAGTGCCTATACCAGGTGCAGCCTGGTATTGAGAATTCCCCAGAACAACCAATATCTCCTTCTTACACACCTCTATCGAAACATTTGTGATAAACCCTAGTTTATAGAGTGCTTTCTATCTACTAGTCACTATGCCAAGTGTTTTACACATATCATCTCCTTTTACTCTCTACAATCCTGTAAACTGGGCACTGGCATCTTCATCTTACAGATGAGGAAACGGAGTTTAAGTAACCTGTCCAGCCTCACACAGCTGGTAAGGGCCAGAGGGCAGATTCAAATCCAGGCTGCCTAATTTATATGCTCTTCATTATAATGTAGTCACTTGTTGGCTTGTGCCTCTCACTAAAATGTGACCTTTTGAGATTGAGAATTATGTCATTCTTTCTGGATCTCTAGTGCCTGGTTCAACATAGGCGCTCAGTACATACTGAAGAATATCGAGTGCACCATTAGCTTGATGTATCGCACATGCACAATAAAAGGTCAATGGGTAAAAAGACGCATGAGTGAGACACAGCCCAGAAACCTGGAGCTGGATGTCACGGTCGGCCCTTTCTCTCCCTCCGGACAGTGTTAGGAGCTCAGTTGATGCCAACTAATGTTTTATCCGAAAGTCTGGCCTCAAGTCACCATCTCGTAGACTTTCCACCATATCATACCTCCCCTCCTTCTAAAGGGTAGGGATCTGTTCTGCTCATGCTAACATTCCCTGTTTATTAGTGCATGACGTGCCTCTGTGGTCCCCACGTGGGTCATCAGAGAACAGAGCACGAGAGGGAGGGTTGAGCTGAATGAACACTCAAGTCTGTTCCAGTACACCTACAGCTTCCGTTTCCAATTCTCTGCCCTATCCAATTAGTAGATGTTTGCACAGCCTTCTGGAAGGCATCACGTGCTCCCTGTAGCCTGTACAAAAGCTATGATTTTAGTCCTTAGCACCAAACTGCAACCCAGACCATCAGCTCATCCTTGCTTTCCACTGAAGCGCTTCCCTCCACCCTGATGTGCCCCTTGCGCTCACACCCAGGTCCCCACAAAAACCAAGAGAGATCAGTGAGTTACTCTGATGTTTATTTTAATGCAACTTAGTCCACACGGTTGGTATAAAATCAGAAAAAGCAAAGCAAAAACAAATAAGGTCTGGAGTCTTAGCATCAGAAGGGCACCATATATACATCTACAGTTGGTGGCCAGTACGAGTCATTGCCAGACAGTCCTTGGAGGCAAAGAACAGTCTAGACCAGCTGAGCCCTGGGAACTCAGTCCCGGAGGTCTAGAGGCTTGTCCTGATGCTCCGACCGTTAAGAAAAATGTGGGGGTGATAACGGCTGTGTTTATTATTTATTTATTACAGTAATAATAGCAGCCTAGCTAAGTACAAAAGCGGTTATAAACCATTTATATTACACAGAATTATTCAGGTCTCCATTCTACTTTATGTTGTAAAATTGTTAACTGAATTTCCAGTGAGTCATTTAGATGATTAGTGATAATAAGGAATGGTAGATACATAGCACCATTTCATAGGTTTGTTGTCACCGATTTCTCATCTAGACGTGTGACCAGGACACCCACCCTCGAGGGCAAGTATTCCAAAGCCACAGTCCTGTTTTTGCCAAGGGCTCCAGTTTGGGGGTTCTGTCCGAGCATGGGTGAGGCTTCACATGGAGATGAGGGCAGTGGCTCTCTGTGTGATGCTCTGGGTCACCCACGGGAAGAGGCTTTGGGCCATTCTGGGTCTCTACCCATACTTGGGTTTTCTACATGAGGTGGAGGGGCAGGGAGGTATCTCCTTTCAGATGAAAGGGAAGGGGCAAGATGGAGTTATTTTATTTCTGGGCAAAACCAAAAAAACGAGAAACAAAACAAAAATACTGAGCTTGATTATGCGTTAGGATGTAAAGTTCCTTAGCTACTTCTTTAAGGTTCAACACAAGGCTGATGGTCAACACATAAAGCAAACAATACTATGTACATATATGTAAAAAGTGTTATAAATAGGTTTTATAAACCATAGATATTATATACATCTTCAATCAACACTAACCCCCCCGTCAACTGCTTTCGGTTTGGTTTGGTTTGAGTTTGGGTTTTTTGACTAGCTCTTTTTTTTTTTTTTTTCTGTTTTCTGGTTTCCTTCCTCCCTTCCCTGTGATGCTCAGAGCCTCAGACGGACTGTCTGGGCGCCTCATTCGCGTTTCCGCAAGATCACATAGATGACGCCGCTGAGCAGGGCCAGGGGGAAGGCCACCCAGGCCAGGATGTAGGCGAAGCCATAAGAGTACGCAGAGTCGAGATGCCATTCTGAGTGCCTCACCGTGTAGATGGACGTTGCGCTCATCACACACAGACCTGGGCAAGGAGAGGGGCAAGTTGGGTGAGGCAGAAGTCATGGTTGGGAGTCCCCTCTGCACCACCCCCAACTCATATTCCACAGGACCCCAGGCACCTGCCTACACCACTCCCTGCTATTGCCCCCTCTCTCTCACACACAGACACACACACACACACACACACACACACACACACCAGGTCACTGATCTTTCTGCCTTACAGAGAAGGAAGTGGGCTGCAGGGCGGGCAGGCAACACTGTACAAGAAGAGATTGTCTAACTCTGACAGGAATCTGCTGCCAAATCCAGAACTGAGGAGAAAGGGCTCGAAGACAATAGGAACACGAGAAACAATCTGCCCTCCACTTCTAATCTACGTGACCCAGGCCATCATCTCTGAAGTCCCTCATCATCACCTCTGCCCCATTTCTCTTCCTTTAACTGTCACCAATTCCCAGTCAACACGAGGTGGCCAGTGAGAATTCGGGTTGCAAGATAAACCCGTCTACCTCCTTCCAAGGACGGCTGGGTGTGGGAGCCCCTGGAAACCTGTGAACCACTCTACAGATGGGTGGTGGTGTTATCTGAAACCAATGAAAGTGAAGTGACACTTGACCATTATCGGAGTAGTGCCCTGGCAAAAGTGCTGGGCTCTACACAGAACACAGGGGCAGAACTCCATGCCAGTGCCCTTGGCAGGATTGCTACGCAAGAGACGGAGCAAGCAGTGCCTGTGGGCACTGCTGGGCAGCACAGGAATGAATGCAGAGGGTAAAGAAGGAGAGGAGGAGACAGGAGAAGGACAGGATATGAGTGGGAGGCAAAGCTTCAGAGGGAGGCAACTATGGGGGGCAAGCTCCACTGCACCTGGGCCCTTCCAACAGTTCCTGGTGCCCCCAAGGCTGGGTCTGAAACCCAAAGAGGGGTGAAAGGGTATCGAATACACAGGTGGGTCAGGCCACCCCTCCCTTGGCCACCACTGCAGCCCTCTGGTTGGGAAGGAGAAAGAAACCTCCACCTTGGGCCTCATGCAGCAGGCAAGTTGAAGCATGACGGTCCACGCCCACGAGGATAGTCAGCATCCCCCTGCAGGGAGGGGTCCAGTGACGTCAGCACCCCAGCCTGGGGCTGCACAAAGCCTGCTCTATTCTCTCCTTAAAACAGGGTCTTTGAGAGGCTCTGAGTGACTCTATTATAAATCCAGCAGGCCGTGTGGGTTTCCTACGGTTCCAAAGCTCCCAGTGCCCCTGGACCACCTACATCTAACCTCACTGCTATTTGGGCTGCTATTTTAGTGGACACTGCAACTTTGTTTGAACAAAGTGCAGAAGTAGGAATATGTCGCATTCACCACCCTGATAAGATTGTCCTTCTGCAAATCAGAGGACAGAACTCCCACTCGCCTGGCCCCCGTTGAGAAAGCCACACAATAATCTTGGAACTATAGGAGATTGGATCCAGGACCTGCTACCTACAGAAAGTTGAGGCCAGTGAAGACCTCTGTGTCAGAGGGGAAACTGTAGCTGGCAAACTGTCATTTGAGGAATACAGCAGTTTTGATCCGCTGGGAACAGACAGTATTTGCTTTGAGATCCGTGATCCTCCATTATCTTCCCCCACAGCTCCATGGCTCACCTCTCCAGAGTGCTAATTCTTGTCTTTAAGAAATACTAAAGTTGTCTCTTGGGCTATATCTGACCTACCTAACGAGGACAGGACGGTAAAAAAAAGAAGCACATACAAGGGAGAGAGTGGGGTGTTAACAGACTAGTAAAGGCTAGGACAAGGGCTTCCAAACGGGGTGGTGTCCCACCAGCACCAGCATGAAAGATGCCATGTATACGGCCACGGTCGCCGTGTAGACCAGCTGTGCCGGATTGCACTGGCAAAGAGAAAACATTCTGTCTATGACCAAGAGGGATGGAGAGAGGCAGGATACACAAGTGAGGTGACTGACTAGAATGGCTTCATTTCTATCACATTCGCCCTAGTAGAATCTCAGAAGTAAATGAATTTAAGCTTCACTTCAATAAGCAATAAGCTTAGATACTTACAAAGCCAAAGAGAGGATACACACTTTATAATTATTGTTGTCAGGAGACTGATGTTTTTGGGAATATATTATTACAAGGCTTTCTGTATGGAACAGTAGATGTGCCCTGGAATACAGAGCAGGTAATGCCATACAATAGCCCCCAAAAGGCAAACACTCCTCTCCATAAGTGGACTGTGGCTCGCTTCTCAGCAGCCAGTGGGTGGAGATGCATTTATGAAGGCCCCCCATGGTGAAGGTAAGGGAGGCTACTGACACACAGGCAGGCCTTCCGCTCCCCCACAGATGAGCAGTCTGTGCTTTGGCAATGGGGACCCCCTGGGAGGGGGCTGAGTCTGGGAGTGGAGGCCAGCTTTAAGTGGAAGAACACTGACCCTTTCCAGACAACACGAAGGTGCTGGCCATTCAAGCGTTCACAAGTTTCCACCTGCCTCCGGATGGCTGGGTCTACAACAATGCCCTGAACACTCTCCCTCAGGCCCTCTTTAGTAGTGACAGTAACTGCAGGTGAGCAACTGGAGCCCAGACTCTTTGGAAGGGAGCAACCAAGAGAACAAAGGCAAAGGAAGAAATGGAGGGAGTTCTCGATACTTCCTTATCTCTGTTCTGTTTGGTTCAGTAAACATGTAATGAGCGCCCGCTGTGTGCAGGCACTGTTCTGGATGCTGAGTGCACCAAGACAAATGAGACATGGCCCCTGCCTTCAAGGGTGAGTGTCATCCAGAAACAGGCATGTAAGGAGAGACTTCAATATAGTAAGATGTGATTTCAAGAAGGAGAGAGCGAAATGCACCCAATGCCCTGAGAGCACAGATGGAGAAGCCTGACGGGGGAGATGGTGCTTGACCTGGGTCTAAAGGATGTGTAAAAGGTAGCCAGGTGAAGAAAGGTGGGGACGGAATCCCAGGTAGAAGGAAGAACATGAGAGAGGCAAGGGAGACTGAGAGAGCTTGGTGGAAATCACCAGCAAGTCATGATAAGGGTCTCCCGTGATAGGGGAAGGGCAGCGTAGGATGAGGCTGGAGAGCTCACTGAGGCCAGGAGAGAGAGGGCCTTACGTGGCATGTCGAGGAAGTATGGTGAGAAGCACATCTTCAGCAGAGGAGAAACACGATCAGAGGTGTTTTTTAGAAAGATCACTCCAGCAGCAGTGCAGGACGTGGATTTAGGGGTGAGGACAAGACGGGGGCAGGAAGGTCCATGAGTTGGCTTTTGCACAGCTGCGATGGTGTTAGTGAGTAAAAGAAAAGAAATGGGCTCAATATCTATGGAGGTTGCTACCCCATGTCAGGACGCGGTAGTGGACTGGATATGGGGTGAGGAGAGCGGATGCTGGCGTGACTGCTCTAGTGGGTTAAATTTAACTGGGAAAACGGTGATGGCTTGGAAGCCAAGGGAATAAACATCTTCATGGAGTGAACAGTCAACAGTACTGAAAGGAGCGGAGGGATTCAGCAAATGACTTGAAAGTGTACATCAGCCACCTTTGCAAAAGCAGTTCATTTGAAGCCTGGAGTAGAAGCCAGAGTGAACTTGGCTAGAAAGTGAACGTCAGGTGAGACCACCGACACAGCCAGTGGAAGGTGCCTCCGTTGTGCCAGTTTGATGAATGAGAGCCTGCATCTCACCCCACCTCATCCTTCAGGCAATGAGCTGGGGCAGGAAGAGGCTGGAAGGCCCGGTACCCTCAGAGTGTTGGGCTCTATGTCTGACCTACACAGAGCCTTCTCGGTCCTACTAGCCCAGTTTCCATTTTCAGCATCCACGTGACCCGCGCTGCCTAGAAAGTCACCACAGCGCCATTGGATTCTGATCTGGGCGTGGCCAGTGTACCATCTGCAACGACTCACTCATAGCGAGGGTTTCTAAATGTAGGATCCGACTGAAGCTATCTTTGAACCACTCAGAACAGATAGGGCACTGGGTTTTTATTCATCCTCCTGATTCTTTTATTCTAAATGCCCTAAATCCGTATCAATCTGTGTAAAACAAAACAAACACAACAAACAGAAAAAGTAAAACTCACTCAGGAGTCTCCTCCTACCATCCTTGCTGTTCTTAATCACAATAAATAGTAGCTATGCATGTGACCCGAGTTTGATTCTGCCAAGTGAACACAATTATCCAGTCATCCAACAAGTAGGTGACTCAGGCCCTTCTGCGTGGCATGCACAGAGCTCACCGTCGGCTGTAAATAGTGAAATAAATCAAAACACGTGAATCTTTCTTTCAGCTCTGTATCTATATGAATTTCTTGATGTTTTCCCATCCAGTGCAACCCAACGCAACAGAGCTAGAACGAGGGTATCTACTCTCTGGGGACAGATGGCTACAGGTTCTGAAAGTAAGAATGACTCCAAAATCCAGACACAGGATCAAGACCTTCTCTAAGAAGGGGGTTTAGAAGAATCTATAGCTCATGAGTGGGATGAGCTGTTGGTGGGGAAACATCCTAGAAGAGCTTACATGGGATTAGGGGCAGTTTAATGGCTAGCCCAGCGGTTCCCAACCCTAGATGAACATCAGAGTCACCCAGGGAGTGGCCTCTCCCAAGAGCTCTTCAGTGGGACTCTCCAGGGATGAAACCTGAGCACTGGCATTTTTTAAAAAGCACCTCCTTTTTAAAATGGTGATTCTGATGTGCAGCTAACATTGAAAAGCACTGAACTAGATGTAGGCGCCTCTCAGTACGTCTTCAGGAAGCAGCCAACCTAAGAAGTATGTAATCAAGGAAAGATAGTTCTTAAATGTGAGACCTGTGGCTTATTATGAAACGGAGAAGGGATGATGCAGCAAACCAGGTAGACCTGTAACCACACGCAGAGCTGTAATCTAGAGCAAGGTAGAGACAGCCCCTAAATCTACAGTCAGCCCTAGGAGCCTGCCTTTCCTGCCTGCTTATGTGTGTGATCCATAAAGACCACAGCTGGGCCCTCCAAAGAGAAGCTGTGCAGAGATAATCCAGCCTGCAGCAGCCTCTTGGGAGACTCAGCAAATTCTGGTGGCTTCCACTTAAAATGCCTCAGTGTTCGAAGACGCATCTGCGCTGCGTGGAACCCAGCTACTGTGGCAGGCACACTCTTAGATTTTACATCCCATGATTGTGGGGCTACTTTCTTCTTCCTCCCTTCCTCCCTCCTTTCCTTTCTTCTGTTTTTTGTTTGATTGTTTTAGCTTTTCTGATTTGTTCCTTCATGTCAGGCTGTAACTTCTCAGGCTGTCACCAGCCCTCATCTCCAACAACCCTCCCCTAATTGTCTCTCTACTTACTGGCTGCTTAATAGGCTGTGTGTTGGGAAACACATATGACAGAGATGGTTTAGAATTGTCAGACTTTAAGTCGGGAAAACTCTGAGTGAAGTCCCTAACTCTTAGTTCTTAACTTTAGTAGAAAAACCTACAGCAAGTTCAAACGCACCATTCTAGAGACCTGAGGATCCTAGAAGACTAACTTTCAGATCATTCTGACTGGAGTTACCAAGCACAGAACATTCCTAGGACTTATAAATGACATCTGCTATTTTGGCTCAACATTTCTAACTAAAGAGAACTTCCTATTCACACATGAACCGCTAAACTGACAAACTGACAACTTAAAATTAGGTCTCATGAGAGATAGGAAGCTAGATTTGAAAGGGATAAAGGAAGAACAAGTCATGTGCTTTTAAATTCAGAGGTTGTCATAACAGAGTTCTTTTTCTAAAAGGCTCATATTGAGTTCGGAGGAGAATCAAACCAGTGAAGCAAGTATGGATTAGTAAATAAAGTGTGGAAGATTAGAAAATCTCAATACCTAAGAGTTTTTGGCTGAACTGAAATACTTGCACACACACAGTGCAGAGACCACATGCGTGATTTAATGGCTCTTATCTCTGGACTTTGGGTTTTGATCGAAAATGACATTGCTAAAAAGACATTTAGAGATATTTAGAGAATTTAAAGCTGAAATATCTCATGGGAAGAACGAAGATGAAGGTGGTGTCTGCTCTGAGAAGCCCCTCAACAGTCACTTAGCTCTTCTTAGTCCAATATTTTTCGTCTGACTAGTTCTGATGGTGTAGACTCTTATTCATCACAGACGTTTGAGAACATGGGAATAATAAATGGTGCAAATTTGCATTGCTTTTCCACTGCAAATCAGGTTCAATGAAAGATCATATAGAAAGCAGAGGTTATGCCTTGGATTTTGTGTTCCTTAAAAATTTTGGTGGATTCTGTACGTCTAACGAGAAGGAAGTACCTGTCTGTATTCAATCCACACGGAATGAGAGAGAATGTAGGCACCCAATTGTGCTTGCATGAGCTGGGTGGTCCTTTATCCTCTCTCGGTCTCAGTTAATTTATCAGTAAAATAACAATTTTGTCTAGATCAAATATAAATATTTTATGAAACTTCTGGTTCCTAAGTCTATATTACTTTATCTTGAGGATACATTCATTGATACAATGGATTTGATTATCACTGATATCAAACTGTAAACAGTAAGCCAAAAAAAGAAATCCCAGAATACATTCTAGTTTTCTGTATTACTACTGGAGATGGAGTGAATAATGATAACTCTGCTTCTAATGTACCTAAAAACCGCACCACATAATTAGTAATTTAACAAAGCTGGCATATTATCCCGAGCTTGGCTTGGGATAATAAAACCTGTGCAACAGCAAAGCACTATTTGGTTTTGAAATCTCAAAACTATGCATATTGAAATATTGTATTTGAATATTTAATAAGAAGTTGCTCTCTAGTTTACTTCCTTTTTCCAGGAAAAGGTAACTCTCTGGCTTCTACAAAAGGTCATCAACATTCAACCTCGGGCTGTGTCTTGCCATATAGCCCTGTGTAAGCCATTATTTCTGCACATCCATCCATCCATCCATCAAGGACATATGGGCTGTTTTCAACCCTCCAATGACTGCTCTTGAGCACTGAGTGGTGATTCAGCACCACGGATGTTCTGACAACCAACTGAAACATGAGTTGCTACTCCCGTTGCCTACTCCAAGGGCCAGAATCGAAAACATTTCACAGTACCCAGGTGTTCTCTAGTACACACAGAGTTTTTGATTTATTAACTTGGACTGTAGAATCCACCACCACATCTGCCTCTTATTTCTCTCCAATGCCCTGTCGCCTCAATCAACTGGAAGTCAATGGGCAGAAGGATAAGAGTCAACATGTGAGACAATGGCCGGAATCTAGAGACTAAAGTTGGAAGATGTCACCTTCTGTAGCAGAAGCTTCTAGGACTCTGCACATTGTGCATCCAGGTAATCTGTCCAATCAGGGAACTTGAAGTCAGTTTAGGGAGGAGATGAAGGAGACCACTCACATGTTGTCATGGTCCCATGTTTGGAAATCATGGCATGTTACGCAGGGGTGCCAAAATGAAGACACCTGCAGATGACAACAGTAAATCAAAGCCCAGGGGACTCTAGGAGCTGGAGTAAAGGAGAGTAAGAATTTGACAGTGTGGCTTTACCACTGCTTAGAGGTAGGAGACACATACCTGAGAACAACCTTGGCAGCTCCCAGTAGCACATCAGGGCCATTTTCCATGCTCAAGCAGGCATGGTTCCTTGGGGCATAACGTAATCTACAGAAATCCGCCCTCAAGACTGACCTTTGCTCTACCGATATCCTCAGCATTTACCTCTGATTACGTGCCCAGATTGTAGCTTAATTCCTGGTGATAGGTCTGGCTTGGTTAGGGACCTTCCTTCCAGAGCCCCTAAGTCCTATTTCCTATACACCTCATTCCATGGAGAAGTGCAAAGTTCCCAAATTCTAAGGTATATGTACACACACACACACACACACCCCTGTACTTCATGAAAACCATCCAATGAGCAGACTCACGAACATTAGTCATTCTGGGGCCACATCTTTCTACTTACTGATCATTCCACAGCCTCGGATAGGCCCAGCTTCTACTTTATTATACCCAACTTACCCGCAAGGATCTGGAAGATTCCAGTGATGTAAAACCGGCCCCCCTTGGTGAGGGTGAAGAGCTGGCAGAAGAACAGGAACAGGGACAGAACGCTGAAGATGATGGACAGGATCATGGTGGCCTGGACAGACTGCAGCCATTCTAGGCAGAGGAGACACTAGGTTAGGAAAACCCAGCCATGGCTGGGGAGGGCTCTGCCATTAGGAGTGTGGGGCCTGGTGAACCATGACCCCTGAAAGCCACAGTCCTCCCGGGCAGCAGGAGCCCTCTTTTATGAGCAGAACTCAGACAATTCACTTCTGCACTCTTAAAAGTCATTCCTTATTGCATGGTTTCTCTTGGAGAAAAAAATATATAACACGTGTTTAACTGTGGACATTTTAAGAAAACCTGTAAGAAAATATCTGGTGCCAACACTAGGAGTTAAACTCAAGTTAAAATATATGGAATTCCCTTCCAGTCCTTTTGCCAAATGTGTTGCTTACATATATGTGTTGTGTTAAAGACGGTCCGAGCCCCTCCCACTGGCTCCTCTCTTCCTGCCTTCGGGGGCTCCTGAAGGCATTACTGGAACCCCTATATTCCAAGAATAGTTTAAAATCACTGTCCAAAATACCTGCATCCCCCAAGGAGATATAGAGACCGTGGGGATGGCCGGGAGGAAGAAAAGGGTGTCGGAGCCAAAACTAATTGTGTAGAAAATTAGAAGAAAATGCTGATGGAGAAGAGCATACTTTATCTAGCTATGAAAATCCATTTGCTCGGCCAAGCTGTATCTTTTCTTGGTCAACCTTGATCCTCGTCTTGGGCCTCAGCACAAGGCAGTTCATGATCAGTCAAATCACCAGATAGGACCACGGATTACACCTCCGCATCTTTGTTGAACCCCTAGCCTTAGATCAAATCTCCAAACTTCCAACTGAAATTCAGGCAAGGAAGAGAATTCTGTAGTTCACCATCAACTGCAAAATAATGTCATTTCAGGAAGGAAGGAGAAGAGGAAACAACCTGGGTTCAGCACTACAGAGGGAAACCTACGGTGTCTGCTAGAGAGCTGCACTGGGCCTTGCCCACCTGTCACCTGAGTCATTTCTTCCAAGTGCCAAAGAATCACTGGGGTGGGCCCTGCTCTAAACAAGGAAAAACAGCAAGAAGCCACAGGGTTTACCCTCTCAGCTCAGTAACTGACTGATACGTAATGGCTTAGAAAAACAGACATCAATGCTGCTTAACACGGTATTCAAAGGTATGAAATCTGGATGGTTTGTAATCAATAACTGAATAAGATGAACATGGCTCGAGTTACAGGTAGCTTACGGCAGAATTTTAAGGGTCCTAGATAGATTAACTGTTACCAGAGTTTCACATAAGACTCTTCCAGACACAGACTGGAAGCATTTTAGAATTGGAAGAAACATGAGATCAACTAATCCAGCTCCTTTGTACTGAAAAAGATTTCTGGGGATGTTTTGACGGCCCACTTGGCACAGCCAAATCTGGGAGGCCCTTGATTCCAGTCTAGTATTCTTTCCACTCTGACAGAACATGTGCTTCCTTTATTTCTTCAATTTATTTGTCAAGTAAGGTAAGAAAATGATGTCTAATGGCTTGTGAGCCATCTTGACTTCATTTTATATATCCCTAATTAAATCTGTTTGGCTTTATCTAACATGTTGGTTCTTCTGGAGGAGCAGTCTGCAAGCTAATGTTGTCATAATATTATTTCTTTAAAAATAAACCAATTATCCAGAACTCTGGTAGATGAAGGTGAATAATTGGAAAGAAATCTGAGACCCAAATCCAGAACTAAAATAAACAGTGACTCAGTTTGGCTGGGGCATGTCCTTCAATGTGCGCCCTCATATAGAATATGGCTGGTGCCGAGGACATCCTGGATTTCCTGCTCCAATTCCGAGAGCTCTCCCTTAGTCTTTACCTGCACTATCATTAACAACAGGAACTTCTATCAGTCCTCATATCCAGAGGAAACTCAAAATCTTATATGTCAAATCTACATGAATAGGAAAAGTCTCTTAGATTTAATAATGTAACTAAATCCTTCTTGAAACTTCTTTTACCAATAATTTGAACTTTAGTCCCAACCCCTTTACAATTGAGTAATTTTGCCATAACTTGTTTCTCAAATCAGATCAGAATTAGGGGATCAAGGAAGTTTTTGTTCAGTGAGCATTTGTTGAACGCCTGCTGTTTTGAGCCAGTTCCTCTGGTTGGCTCTGGAGATACAAACCTGAAGAAGAAATTTTTCAACCACGAGCACAATAAATAAAACATGTACATGAAGATAGTAAGTCCAACTATATCATCAATCACAATATATGTGAATGGGTTCAATTCACTCATTATAAGATGTAGAATTTCATCTTGAATTACATAATTCTTATCTAAATATGATATAAGAGATACACCCAAAACAAAGTACGTTGAAAATCAAAAGATTTTTACAAAGAGGCACCAGGCAAATATTAATAGAAAGAAAGCAAGCATAGTAATAATAGCATCAGACAGAACAGAATTTAAGTTGAAAAGGATGCAAGGGGTCCAAGAGGGGTATTTCGTAGTGAAGAAAGATCCAGTTCACCATGAAGAAATAACAGTCATAAACCTTTATGCATATAATAACATGGCCTGGAAAAAGTATAAAGCAAAAAATAATTGAAATATGAGAAGAAATTGATAAAGCCACAATCCTAGTGAAAGATGTTAGCATACCTCTCTCAGAATAGATAAATCAAGTAGATCAAAAATACGGTAGGATCTAGATTATTTATATAACAGAATTAACCAATTCAATTAATAGATATATAAAAAATTTGTATCCATAGAAGAAAGACTATAAATTAGTTTCAAACACACATGAGACAGTCTTACAAACTATGTATTAGGCAGCGAGAAAATCTCAATAAATCTCAAAGAAAGCAGACATGATGTAGGCACAACTAAAGGCAAACGGAAAGTAGAAATGAAAAGCAAAGTAGCCAAAATAAATTTGGAAATTTAAAAATAGTATTCCAGACAATCCCTTGGATAAAGAAATCAAGATGAGAAGTAAAAATTTCGTCAGCAAGAATGACATCGAGAGTACTACATGTCAAACCCGCGGGCTGTGTCCCAAGCAGTACTCAGAGGAAAATGTACGCCCTTAGAGTATTTATTAGAAAAACTGAAAAACAACGAACTAGGGGCCGGCCTGGTGGCACAAGCGGTTAAGTGCGTGCACTCCGCTGCGGCGGCCCGGGGTTTGCCGGTTCGGATCCCGGGCGCACACGGATGCACCACTTGTCAAGCCATGCTGTGGCGGCGTCCCATATAAAGTGGAGGAAGATGGGCATGGATGTTAGCCCAGGGCCAGTCTTCCTCAGCAAAAAAAGAGGAGGGTTGGCAGATGTTAGCTCAGGGCCGATCTTCCTCACAAAAAAAAAAAAAAAGAAAGAAAAAAAGAAAAACAATGAACTAAAGTTTCAACTCAAGAAGTTAGAAGAGAAAGAATTAAATAAATCCAAAATTAATTGACTTAATACTGATAAAAGCAGAGATTAACGAAATAGAAAAAATTCGACAAAAATACAGTTAATTAAAGAATCTGGTTCTTTAGTGGGGGGGGGGGATCAACAAAGTAGACAAATTTTATTAAAGTACACAAAAGAAATGCTAAAGAAACAGAAACATACTATGTTCCTGGATAGAAACACTCAAAGTTGATGCCACTTTTCTCCAAAGTAATATACAAATTCAATGCTATTCTAATTAACATCCCTAATAATTAATATCCCAACTGAAACTGGACAAAATGCTTCAAAAATTTATCTGAAAGACAATGAGCAATAATAGCCCAGAAAATTTTTGAACCAAACTCAACAACATAAACAAAACCAGTGAGGCAGGGCATCACCTAGCAGATGTCAAACAGATAGATACACAAAGCTTATATTATATTTATATCATAAAGTTTTAGCAACTCAAACAATGTGGTATTAGTCATGAAAGAAAAATAAAACAATAGGACAGAATTAAGACTTTAGAAATATACATGTGAATTTAGTATATAATAAACATAGCATATAAACCAGTAGGGAAAGAGGACAACAGATAATGAGTGGTGTTGGCTACCCATTTGTCAAAAAATAAAATGAGATCTCTAGCTCACATCGTTCACAAAATTCAATTCCAGATGCATCAAAGAGCTACATGTAGAATTAGAAAGCCATATAGACATGTGATTCACAAATGAGAAATATGCATAGCCAATAAACATATTTAAAGGTGATCAACCTCACTAGTAACCAGGAAAATGCAAGTGAAATCCATGAAGAATGTGATAACAATTCTTATCCATCAAATTGGCAAAAATCAAAAAGATTTGATAATATCAACAGAGTACATATGTGATAGATACCTCTATACACTGTTCATAGGAATAACAATGTAATAATTCTCTTGTGACCAGCAATTTGGCAGAATATATTTGTATTAAATATATATTTAAATAACATAATGACTCCACAATTCAAACACTATACCCTGGATAAATACTTAAACATATACTCAAAGAGAAATAAATAAGGCTGTTCATTGTAGCATCATTCCCATGAGTGAAAATAAATTAGGGTATATCCCTACAACGGAATATTTTGCAACAGTTAAAAAATCATGAGTTAGACAATGAACAACCTTTGAAAGATCTCCAAGACAATGAAAAGAGTGAGGTGTACAGACAATATGATGTCATTATGTAAATACACACCAAAAAACTCTATCTGTATACATATACACAAGCATGCACGGATGCTTGTGTGTGTTCATTGAAAAAAGAGCCAAAGATGCGCCAAACTGAGATCGATGGTTACCTCAGGAACCAGAGCTGGAATAAAGGAGAGTTTGCTCAAGAAGGCCTTCCACTTGATCTATATCATTTGATTTATTTTTAATAAGGAGAATATTTTCATGTAATATTTGAACAATTAAAACCAAGTTAAAAGATTACAATGGAAAGAAGACATGGCAGTCAATAATAAGTTAGGATTCCAAAAATCAAAGAGCTGCTGGGATCCTAGGGAGGACCGAGGCTCCACATGCAGAGAGTAAAGGGACTTTTCCTTTCCTCAAATGCCATCGAGTCAGAA